GAAAATAATAGAAATGCCAGACCAGCTGGTTTAGACATAGTCAGGGTCTAGAAATATCCTCCTTTCCATAGGCTATTGTCAGGAACACAACAGTTTCTTGGTCATAAACATGGCCTCCTACACAGGAGCTGTATCATTGCAACAGGCCCGCAGCTGTTCAGACCAATGAAATGCAGATTTGTTTCTAACACTCCTTCCATGGCCCAAATACTACTGTAAATAAATACATTGTTGTCTGTATTTAGTTTATTAAACTGCCTCAGTGTGTGCGCACAAGGCTGGTCTTGTCTCGCATGCTGAATGTCAACAAGCCATTTAAACCGCTTTTGCTACAGTTTGCATCTGCGTAACTCTTTCTGTCTGTTTATCATTTAAAAAGCCCCCTAGCGAGGTCTTTTTAGAGGAAAGGTCACTGGTGGTTTTAGTACTCTGCAGAGGTCACAGCCCCTGAATGGAAATGCATGGTGTCCAGCCTTTTATTACCCATCATGCACCTTCCAAACAAAGCCATAGAAAAAATCAGAGCTTTGAATTGATCACAGAAGCCCACAGCGAAAGGAAGATACAGTGAAGCTTGTAGGTGATGGGGTATATTTTTTTTAATGTTAAGAATCAAATTTAGAATTATTATTAACTGAAACAAGCAGTTTGTTTTCAAAGGTTTGTGACATTGCTGAGCCGGACAGGACTTAATGCCCGATATACTCACGGCGAAGTTCTTTTCTCTAAAACCAAGTTCACGAACGAAACTAACATCCGACGCCGCCCACTCTGCTGAGAGCGAAGTTTAGATGAATATGTAAATATGTGCTGCACGCTTTCCTCTCAATAACGAAATAAACGCACAACAAAATTAAGAAAACCGCAAGCATTTTAATAAAGCATAAGAAAAGCATCTGATCATAGCAATGTGGATATGTTTGCACCAGCTCTGCAATTTGGCACTCTTGTGATGTCATATATAATGCTTATTTATATAACACTTTATACAATAGATTGCTTAAAATCAAGCCGGTTTACCGTATTAAACATGAAAAACAGTGTGTGTCTCGTTTCATCAGAAGTACAACTTCATTTTCTGCTATAAAGCAGCTCTCCCGTGTGTTCATGTTTTCACTCGCAGATGTCTGACCTCGACTGACTGAACAGGAGAAAGAAATCGGAAAAGATTTCCACGTGAAAGAAGGCGGAGCCTCCACGCACACCTTCCTATTATGTATAATCACCAACGACCAATCGTAGTACGAAGGTGTTTACCAGCCGTAGCGAACTTTTCCAGAAAGTTCAAGTTTTGTTTCAAACTCCCAAAACTCCACACGAACTTCCTTTCGGCCTGATTTTGTTCGAAATTACGTCACATCAGTTCGTTCTTCGATTTTGAAGTATATCGGGGGCTGTGGGCCCCTGGGCTTTAGTCACAGTTCAGGCTCTCTACAAATGACCTCAACTAGAACAACATCATTATAGAGTAGCACAAGTAAACTAGGCCTATGCTTTGAAGTTCCTAGAAAAATTAATATGCAACATGCCTAGCCCAGTCAAAGTTTAGAGGTAATACTAAATAGCCATTACAATACAATATAATACAGGAGGTGCTCTCTCAGTATAGCGAGAAGATATCAAAACTACTACTAGAAGTATTTTTATAAAAAAAATTGTCATATCTTTGGTCAAATTCTTAAATGTAATCAATAAATTCAGTTATAAAAAAGAATAAAAAGACAAAATAGGGCTATTACCAATCAAATGAGATCAGTATCAACAAAAGGTGGCACAGAAGCTGCATCTGAAGTCGCATTTAGATTTAGATTTTAAATGCAGCTCAGAAGGCATGAATACATTTACACTGCAATTCCAATGATATTATGAGATTGAAGTTTGAAATATATATTTTTTAAAATGTAGAAATGTGAAATGATTGAAATAAAAAAAATTAAATTATTCTTTTCAACAAAACCTCCGGTTGGAGGCAGCAAATCACTGAGTGAGTTAAATCATTTATTCAACCGATTCGTTCAAAACGTCCATTCAGGAATGGAGCAAATGACTGTGACTGAATTCGGATTCTGAACAGCAGACTAGCATACTACTTTTACTAAATGGTAAGAATAGTATGTGATTCCAAATTCAGTATGTGTTTATGAATGGGTCATTGAATCATTTACTCTACTGATTCGTTCAAATGCGCCGATTCATTCAGGAACGAAACAGCTTGTTGCTGATCTGCTATGGCTTTGTTTAGAACTATTTTCTTTGAGTGAGCAAAAACAGACTGTATTGTGTCTAATATGAAAGTTACTCAACTTGTGTATTGAACTGTTGTATAAAATCATATTTGTGATCGTGTTGATGTTCAGAAAAACAGCACTGCTTGTGTATATCATATTGTGAACAGGAAAAATCTATATTTCCTAAATGTGCACTCTTTTGGACTAAAAGCCCAAATGGAGCTATTTAAAGTAGTCATGTGATCACAAATAAACAGGAGCAGACGCAAGTGAAAATGCATGTATTTTTGAAAATGGTTAAAAATGGACTTATGTTGGGTTAGCCCAGTCTGGCCATGTTGCTGAGCTGTGATGGGCAGTTTCACATTAGTTTTCCATCAAAACAGAATCTGTAAACTTCCATAAATGGCCACAGACGTTCTGCTGTCCCATTGTTATTTTGGTAACTTTGTTTTATGGCAGTCTTCTTTGCATGTAATTCATTGTGCACCCTAAAATGCTTGTTTAACCTTTATAGAAAGTAATGCACACATACAATTACAAAACATTTCTGGCAGACTGGAATAATGTCATTAATATGGTATATACTGTGCTATGGGTCATGGGAAGCAGCGAAAATACAAATAAAAACACTTGCCATTTTATTTTCAGTTTTTTCCCAAATGTTAGGCAGATAAATAAACAATGTAGTATTTTACCAGTTTTAGTTTTCTGCTGCCATTACTCCAGTCTTCAGTGTCACATGATCCTTCAGAAATCATTGTAATACTGCTTTGATGCACAATAAATATTTCAGTTGTGCTGCTTAATAGTTTTGTGGAAACCATGATACATTTTTTCAAGATTATTTGATGGATAGAAAGTTCAAAAGCTCAGCAATTATTTGGAACAGAAATAATGTGTAATGTTATAAATGAATTAGTGGTCTCTTTTGATACATTTTATGTATCCTTGCTGAATAAAAGTGTAAAAAATGTATGCAGCTTTTAGTCAATTTAGCACATTTAAATTTTTCATTATAACAATTTTGTTCTAGAGAACCAATGGTATACTGGTAATTAAGCTATCTATAACAAAATATGAGACCTTGTTTGACCTTATATGTCAATAAGTTTGGTCCTCCAATGTCATTCTAAATGTCACAGAACCCCATAATGCAGACATCTATTTTTTGTATGTGCACATGATCTAAAGCAGAGGTGGGAATTATTCAGGCATAATGCAATACTCATTTCTTGTAACTAACATCTCGCTTCCTCTTAACTCACCCTTCCATCAGTCTTTGTTTTGTCTGATTGTGATTCATTACTTTGGTGGTAATGGTTGATAGTCCCCTGTATGTTAACTACACGCGCTGAGTTAGTAAATTGATGGCCCAAACTCATGGTGTCATTCCTTAAATTGCACATCTGGCCTTTACCAAGGGCACTTAATGGAACTTTTTACCGCTTAAAAACCGCTTAAATAATATTTTTGACTAATTTTATGACCACTAGGGGGAGACACAGTTTCACAGCTGTTATTTTATTCTGAAAGCACCATGGAACATTTCTTAATGTCTTTGGCTTGATCTTACATGTTAGGAAAGCTCTCACTGTATCATGTTTTCTGATTTCTAGTAATTCACCTTCCATTACATTTGACTTTTCACACCCTGCCTAAAAGATAATAACCGAAGCATTTGCAATTTAGCAGAATCATTTATCCAAAGCTTCATTCGAGGTTCACATTTTTGCCAGAATATTTGCTCACCCCCATGTCATTGCAAAGGTGTATGACACTTTCTTCTGCTGAACACAAAATAATTATTTTTCTGGAGCTTGTTGGGGTCGAAACAGTACTGAACCACATTCATTTTCATTGTATTGAGACATTTTGTTTTTCAAAATATCTTCTTTTGTGTTCCAAAGAATAAAGAAAGTCATACAGGTTTGGAACAACATGAGGGTGAGAAAATGATGACAGAATTTTATTTTGTAAGTATATTATCCCTTCAATAGCCAATGATTATGCATTTCCAATCAAAAGAGCTGCTTCATCATGTATTTTAATATTAACTCCTTGTGTATCCCACAAGAAAATGGGTTCTGACCGACATGAGGAAGCAATTGATCTTTATGAAGTGTGACTCAATTGGACTGACTGAATTTAGACATGTGAATGGGGATTTCTGCATTTTAGACAGTTCTATTTAATAAGAATCCTGAAAAAAAAGTGAATCATGGTTTCTACAAAAATATGAATGTATTTTTCATCAAATGAATGCAGCCTTAGTGAGCATAAGAGACTTTCAAAAACATTTTTTTGTTGTTAAATGATGACTTGTGAACAGTAGTGTATGTGAAGCCTTAACCATCATCATCATCTTGTAAGACTTTAAGACCATATCAGAATATCATCATGTACTAATGGTATAGAGCATAATGCTAGCAACACCCTGGTTATAGTTTAAATGTTAAATTCCCAGGAACTGGTTATAAAAACACACGAATGCAAGTCGCTTTGGGCTAAAACCTCTGCCGAATTAATTAGTAGACATTCATCTGACGTTCAAGTGTATCTGCATGCTTCAACTTGCGGTGAAGGTACGATCTTGAGGGACAACACCGTGCAGCAGTTATCAAATTTTGATGAAGTCATTTCCCTATAGCTCACAGTATCCAGATGTAGTCGTGTGAAGTGTGTTGACACGCATGTTCACATGAGTGTTTTGCTGACCCAGCCTAACCAGTGATTCACCACACTCCTCCAGACTCATTACATTCAGAGGAGAAGGAAGAGGACACAAGGAAAGGGATGAGGGACAATAAAGTGCCCTTGTTCCTCTCTCAGAGAAGCTCATAGGATTTGGGTCATTTAGGGGAAATGGAGGAGGTAATAGATAGAAGAAGAGAAGTTGTGGACACTGTACTGTAAGACTTCATGACTAAGGATTTCCCTGTGACTGTTGATCGCTCTTCTCCCTCTCTCTTTCTCTGTGGCAATTGGTCACGAGTGGCGGCGCTGTCAGCCAGCACAGTCTCTAGTATAAGAGCCACGCTTCAACATGAAGGCTATCCATTCTGTTAGGACGCCACTTGGGTTTGGACTTACATGAGGATTGTGTATTTGTTGTGAATAGGACGAGATAATCATTGACCGGCCTTCTTCATTTGCACTGGCCGTCTACATCTGCATATAAGGTATAGAGAGTGAATCATTACCGAGATTTGTGTAATTTGACATCAACGACCCATAGCGGGCTTGAATATTAATGGGCACACATATTTAGTGAAAGTCATCTCAATGGTTGGGAAATGTGTTTTATTGGAAGTCTCACACTGAACAGATATACTTGTGGAGCTATTTTAAAGTCGCTTTGACTTGTACTTGCTTTTATTATGATGGTCGTAGTATTGTGGGATACATCAGTGGCAGAGACCCATAAGCAGGTCTTGATGGAGTCACTGGACTTTTCTGTGCTGATTTTGAGGTATAAATCTGCAGATTAGGTTTAAATATAGTAAAGTGTGTTTAACAGAGCTGAGAGTTTACCTCCATTGGTGCACTTTGGAGAATGATAGTTGTTAGTGCAGTTTCAATGCTGTTTCACGACACTCACACAATAGGGCTAAAACATTAAAAACCACAGCGTAAAATAATAAAGCATAGTATATTTAGCATTAGATAGACAAACAAAGGATTTTTTTTCAAATGGTCTGGTGCCACTTTCAAATTTGATCTCGCCTCACTCATTTTAAAACACAGGGTTTTTTCTTTCTACATGGACAATTCAGAATAAAGTTTAGCATTTTAAATTTAGCATTATAGGCCTACGCTAAGAGCTACATTTGACCTAGTCCCCATTTTATTTTATTTTATTTTTACAAAGACAATTCACAATAAATATTAGCATTTGAATATTAGCAGTATTATGTAAGAGCTACTTTTCAACTGCATTCCCTATTTTATTATATTTTTACAGGGACAATTCACAATAAATATTAGCATTTAAATATTAGCAGTATAAACGCATTTCAAGAGCTTTATAGCCAACACAAAAACATTTCCTGTACTGGAGGCATCTGCTCTAAGATCATTGGATCACACTGAATATAAAGATTGTGGTTACATTATCAAATCTTTATCATCAGCTTTAACATGGATACTCAGTTACACGTCATTGTGCAGAATAACTTTACGGAGTTGTTGGGTCTATAAGAATGAATGCACTGTACAGGTTTAATTCTCACAGTTTGGAAAGAAGTTTAATTAGATGTGTCATGGTTTGACCCAGATATCAACTGAGCTTATAAATAGATATATCTGCGATACACCTGTTGCCTTGTTACTTTGACCGCTAGAAACAGCGCAGACGCAGCTATCTGCAATATTCTCATCACTCCGATTCATCCAGCCACAACCGGACACCTCTTCATGTTACTCACTGGACAAAGCATGGCCACTAATACACATCTCTGTGTTTCTCTTCCAGTTTTTCAGCCCACTCATAGGCAGGCACCCAGTCATGTAGAGAGCAGCGCGTGGAGGACACCCAGATCACTTTCAGCACTTTCTACACAAAGAGGTAATTGTGAGATATTTCTCACAGAGACAAATGAATAAAGGCACAGAAAGCCGTGGAGAATACAGCGTTCAGCGTGTGTCCAAGTGCAACTGGGCTTGTCTGTTAGGAAAATCCATTGGGTCGTTTGTGTATTTTCCCGTAAGTGCCGACAAAGTTGGAAGTTGCATTAGGTCGTATTGGGTTATGATTTCCTGTTGAACGAGTGACACGGGTTGAGTAAATATAGTGCCCCCTCTGAATGAAATGACCCAAATAAAAGGGCTTTATATAAAAAGCATATTTGACATTGTTTCTAAATCTTACTTGGTCTAATATAAACTTTTTTTGATCCTTCCCAAGTCCATGAATATCTTTGCACGTGGCTCTGCCTCTGACTGCACACCACAGCATTTGCAATATTAGATGATTTATTTTTAAAAACAGACTTCTCAATAGCAGCATTGTCTGATAATAATAAACAATTATATTTTCCACTGCTTTAGAGTTAAGAGGTCAGATAGTAATTGACATGGCAAAGACGGTAGAAACATGTTGTTTGTGTATGTTTTGAACATTTTGAAAGAAGTCACCCACAGGTCATTGCAGTTGTTAGATAAGTTAGAATCTAATCAAGTTAGTCTACACACTAGCACATAATTGAGCTTGACAATGCTCTAGATTTTATCAAGAATCTTGACACACTTGTACAACAGTGACATTTCAGGAATGTAGGAGTCATCCTCATTTTTGTATTTCCCCTTTTTTTTTTTCTAGATATAATATAACTACTGGTGGTATTGAGATGAAGTATATATATAGGCCTACATTTTTTGATAAATTAATACTTTATTCAGCAAGGATGCATTAAATTGATAAAAAGTTACAAAAAAGGCTATTTCAAATTAATTATTTTAAATCTTCTAGTCATCAAGGAAGCCTAAAAAATCACAAATTCCACAAAAATATGAAGCAGCACAACTTTTTTCAACATTGATATCAAGAAATGTTTCTTGAGCAGCAAATCAGTATATTAGAATGATTTCTGAAGGATCATGTGACTGAAGACTGGAGTAATGATGCTGAAAATTCAGATTTGCCATCACAGAAATAAATTACATTTTAAAATATGTATAAATAAAACAACAGTTATTTTAAATAGTAATAATATTTCTGTATTTTTTAACAAATAAATGCAGCCAAACAAAATATACTTATATTTTTTTATAATATACATTATATTTTAAAACGGTCTGGAAAAACCAGCTGTTATAGAAAGTAAGCATACTGTGTGTAATGTATTGTGACAGCTGTGTCAGGATTAAGTTGTCTTGCCTCTTGGACTAAATCCAGCAATCCGTTTAATCCAGCATATGACCACTTAACTCTTTCCCCACCAGCATTTTTTTTTTTTTTAAGTTGCCAGACCGACAGCATTTTTGATTATTTTCACAAAATTTCATAGACCCCAAATTATTTTGTTGTATGAATATCTGATCATACAATATATATAAAAAGAGAACAGAGCCTCTGCTTTAATTTTTTTATTTCATTTTATTCTAGCTTCATGCATTCTTTTTGTTTTATCAACACTTGAATCTGATCATTTAAAAAAATCAGGTAGGTTTCATAAAAAAAAAAAAAAAACATTTTGAACAAAAAGCTGAGAAAATTGTGGGGTTTTTTTTCAAACACTACTTCTGTTCGGATCAGATACAAAACAATGATCTAAATATAGACTTGAGTAGATTGAGTCCATCAACACTCCCAAAGCTTCAAAGTCCTATACCTCTTCCTGGGTTCGACTTTCATTCAGTAACATTTCTATGCTGTTTAATGTTTGATGATCATGTTAGCTTACATGTGCATAAGCAATGCTTCTATCACTGCTTCTTTGCTTGTTTTTGGATCTGGAGATTCTGTACAATGTGTCATAGCACCCCTACCGTATAACAGTGAAAACATGGATTGCCGGAAAAATTCCGTCAATGGCGGGAAAGAGTTAAAAGTATGGGAGGTCATGGAAGTGTCTTGTTCACGTGAAAGCTGGGAAACCTGAAAGTGTTTGTTCTCTTTTGATATTTAGTAAATTGGAATTTTCTCCATTCTCAGTGTCAATCAACAGTGAAATGAAACAGTGTAGAACAGTTTTGGATTGAGGACAGCAGATAAGTGACTTTAAAAGCAGAAGTTTTAGTGATGTTTATTTACTTGATTGCATGAGTTTGCGAGTGAGGTAATCGCTGTGTTGTTGAGAGCCCAAAAGGCATGACCACACTGCACATGACACAAGCATCATTTGGGGATTTTTCTGTTTTTATTTTCTTGAAATCATGGGACCTTAGATGATATTCAGTTTATCAATCGTAGCTGCTTAATATTGTTTTAAAAATCTCTGCCATCTTTGTGATTTTTGTACGGAATTCATAAAAGCGATGCACAATATATCAATACTATATTTTAGTTGTTGTTTATGTTTTTTACATTTATGTATTTAGGAGACACTTTTATCCAAAGCGACTTACAGAAGGAGAACAAAGCATTCACCAGAGAGCCAACAATCGTTGTAGTACACAATGCTAGTTTTATTAGACAACTACATTAGGAAACCAGCAACAAGAGAAGAAATGCAGAATTGTTTTAAATGATCATATTATATTATTTTTAGCATATCGGTAACGATTAGGCTAACTTAAAAGTTCAACATTAAAAACATTACTTTAATAGCACTGTTAAAGGGGCTATGTGTAGGTTTTTACTTGTACAAATGAAGACTCTATCTTAAAGATTTGTTTATTTATGAGCCAACCATAATGTAATAGAAATAATGACACCTTGACTGTCCACCACGGTTGCCTCTATCAGCCTTTAGGCCCAATTGTGTGTGGAGGAGTCGGGTCCGAGTTGGCGCGAAAATTCACAAAATGTGACGTCATGCGCGTTCTCGTCTACTTGGGCTTACATCCGTACGGCAGCCATTAGTAAGCAGCGGCAATCGCTAGCAGTAGTGTTTCAAATGGACTCTGCGGACGGAAAGAAGCGACCAGCCTCCAGCACAATCCAGATACCCACGGAAACTCCTCGTAAGTAAAAAAAAAAAAAAAAAAAAAAAAAAACATTATCTTGTACGGGCAACGAGCGTGTGCACCGAGAACGAGCATGAGGCTGGCTGCAGTTTCTCTAACGGCCACTGGTGTCAGTAACGGTAAGAAATTTCAGAACTTCCGCAATGCTCCTTTAAATGCAATCTTTAGCAAATCTCAAAATGAATGCCCATTTTGTTTATACTTTACACTATAATGTTGTGATGCCTACATTTGCTTGTAGATTATTTATTTTGACAATAGCATAGAATTTTAATATCTGCCATTGTACCAATGTTGGTTTGTACCAAATCAAAACTCAAATAAAACAGCTTTGTGGAAAACTGACGCTCTTGATTATCTTGAGGAAAAAGAGGAAGGAAAAGGGTGCTGTGAAGACACTGTCAAAAGGTTCAACTTCCTACTTGAGTGATGTCCTTCCCTTACCCATCCTACCTAGCATTATCCCGGCGAGTGGTAATCCCATGTGCGAGTGTGAATCCTTAGAACATGGCGGATAAATTGGCCAGAGCATGGAAAGTTCACTGTGTGCTGCAGAGTCATTTTACACAGCAGCAGTCTATTACCCCGAGGGAACAGGGTGTCTCTGCAAACAGGAACAGAAAGTGTGGGTGTTATTTTTGGTTCCGCTTGCCTCGCTGCTTTGCTAGAGAGGGCGGATGGTAAATCAAGGGTGGGCAGAAACTGAAGAACCAACATAATCTGGTTCTTTACCAGACCCCTGCCCATCATTCCTGTGCAGGTTACTGCAGTGTCCAAAACCCCACAACAGATACAGATACAGATACAGATAGCTTTATTAATCCCCAAGGGGCAATTCAGTTCCTACAGTACACCGTCTATACCGGTACATACAACCATTCACACAGCCATAGCCTGTAATGCATAACCATAGTAACATGATATGGTCTGGGTCCAATACAGATTATATATATAAAAATGAATAAATAAATAAATAAATAAATAAAAGAAACATCAAGTTCCGAATCTGTAACTCCTAAAGTGCATAGTGCCAAAACCAGATCAGTCCATAACTACGATGTATATTCATATTTGCATATAAGCAGCAGTTTCTCACCAAATCTCAGAATTGTGAATGAGCTCATGTCTGATATTGCAGACGCTAGCTCTGAACACAAACTGATCACTTTTAGTTACTCTGGCTAGTGCTCATTGCATTCTAGGAAATAATGAAGACCTAAGCAAGCTATTCCATTCCCTGGAAATGTCTGCCATGCTATGATGAAATAGTAGTCAATAGTTTCAAATAACCTGCTAATTGTTTTATTTTTGTCCGAATAAACGTTTAAATGGCCGTTAATAAGGATGTTTTTGTATTCATTTGTGTAGTTACATTATCTAGTAGTAGGGGCTAGTTGGCAAACCTTGACCACCCAGTGTATTAGTATTCTTGCATTAGTATTCACACACAAGTGTTCTGAGGGCATTTTCAGATTTGCGTGTTTCTTAGAATTGTTATGTTTACATTTGTTTGAGTATTGGCCTGGTTAGTGCATGTGCTCTGACACATGGTGTTTGTGTAGGCAATGCGAGTTTGAGTCTGACATAATTTCCTGATTTTTTTTTTCTTTTCTTTTTTCTACTTTATCACTCTTTACCAATTAAGGAAGACATGCATTATCTTTTCCACCATGCAAATAATTGTTTGCTTGCAACCAATTCTGGAATATATAATAGATATGTATAATATTTAGCATTGAGCTTTGCTGTGTTAAATGCGACACACAGGCATAGTGACATATTGAATGCTATGAGACTTTGTAAGCATGCAGGTGTATTTGTGTGTATGTGCATAAGCTTTGTGGCTTTTTCTATTTTTTCTTCATCCTTTGATGTAGAGATGCCATGAATTCACTGGCTACTGTGACAATGGAGCACTTTGATAGCTGGCTCTGTTTGGATGCATCTCCATCGGGGCAGTGTATGCCTGGCATTCGCTGATGGGCGGTGTGGGAGAGCGACGTCACAGAAGGAGGTGGTTTACGCACAGAGCAGCGTCAGTATATGCCGGATATATACGTCACTGTTCAGGGCTGAGCCTGAAATGTTTTGTTGATACAAGATACGAGAACGCCCAACTCTGACTCTTCAGTGGACTTCTGAGAAAACAATCAAGCTATCAGGTTGTTTCTTCATTGGAAGAACTGGGAAATGTTTACCAGTTATTTGACCAGTTATAAATTGCCACCTAGTCATGTGCCAAAGCTATTGCTCATACTTACCATACATACCTATTCCCATTTAAGAGGTAGATACGACTATATGTAAGCTATTGCTAGTTTGATTCCCTTAAAGTAGTTATTGGCTGATATTTTAGAGATTTTCTAAGTATTGGTATTTTCCTATCTTTTCAGTTATGGTAATATATAAACACTGTTAAATGTAATATTTAGCAAAGAATTAAAACAATTGATTTACATTTTTTGTTTATTTAGTCAAAATAATATATCATTTTAATATAGATCATAACATGAAAATAATTATCGGCTTACCAGTACTGGACAGAATTTTAATATCAGTGTATCCTTTTTGAAAAGTGTAAATACTGTATGCTGTGTGGCACTATCAAAACATTGCTCTGTTTGCTTGAATCCCTATCAGCCCGACACAACAACACTGACTCAACCAATGGTGTAACTTGGGGTGGGACCAGCTCTAAGGCCAATGGCAGATTGCTTTTTTAATAGCGTTGCAATGTATGAAGTACATCTCTGACAGAAGTCACTTTCAAACCAAGCAGCTTTCTTTTGGTTAACAAAGAGAATTCACATTATCAACTGAACCCAAAGCAAATGGTGGAAATCACTCAAAATAGAAGTGAATCGACGCAACGCAATCGATGACAACATGGCAGATGTAGTACGTCCAACTTTCATACTATATAGAACATACTTTTTTTTATCTGTCCTGAAGTAAGTTTCAAACTAAGTGTAGTACCTACTATGGTACGCGATTTCAAACGCAGCACTAGAAACTTCCAGACAGGTGTATTGAGGCAACAGGCAAGTTGGAGCTAAACTCTTCGGACATTGGCCCTCCAGGAGCAGGTTTGCAAACTCCTGCTCTAGAAACTTCCCAGAACATCTTTCCAACCATTAAAGCAACATAATAACACCTGCCCACGAGTATCATAACAGTCATTTTTTCAAATGGTCTGGTACCACCTTCAAATTTGATTTCGCCTCACTCATTTTAAAATCAAATACCAGCAGGTAATGAACCACCCCGGTGGTCCGGTTCTTCTGTATATCAGTCCAGCTGTTGCGAGACAGCCCGTCCCAAAACTCTGCTCTCCTGGAACTGAGTCAACCTCTGGCAACTGCCCTGGTGACAGAGCCTGAAAGTGTCCACTGACCAGCATGAACCACAAAGCTTGTAGTGTGTTTGCCCCCCTCCACCACTGAAATGTACACTGTGGGCTAAATACTGCTTCAGTACTATCTCAATAGGAGCTGCTTTGCTTATTGTACCTCTAGCACAATAAGCTTTTCTCCATAGTCCCTCTGGGTTGTCCTTTCCACCCCGTGGCTATGTACAGTATAGTTTGTGATGTGAAGCAACTGAGGACGCGCCTGGCAGACTTCAGATGGCTTTATCTAGGATAGTGTGCATACTTGGTACCCCATCTTTCTCTATCAGTACACTTAAATTCCACTTCCTTTTAGCAAAGTCATGCGTGTTTGCATATTGGTCTTCTGTGGCACCCCAAAAAGAGGAACTCGTTCAAATAGGGACTCCCCAGGACCACAGAAAAAAACAGGGTGTGGGCCTTTCTTTATAGTGGGGTAATAGGCATGGGGTGAGGATGTTTTGGAGACATTTCCAAATTAAAAAGACAACTCACATGAGCTTTAAAAGAAAAGAAAAACACCACCTGACCCTCACATGACTTCCCCATCACACTCAGCGTTACTTCTGAGTTGTATTTATTTAGAGCCATCGGTCTCCTTGTGGTACCATAGGAATGCCTTAGGCTTTTGATATTCTTACAGGCAATTTGAGGACACCTAAATGACATGGATGCATCAGGTGGTTCAATGGGAAATGTGGGTATAATAGCTACCTAACATTCTTAAAATATTTGTTGTACACAATGATTTTTTTTTCTATTTTAGGAAATGCCAAGTTACATGATTTATCTTTTAAGTTCCTCTTTAGGTTCTACACTTTATTCTGTTATTCATTTAAACTTGAGGCTTTATATTGTGATTGTACCTTATAAATATGTCAAGCCATATGTCAAACATGACAAGTTGTGTGCGTGCTGGAAATCCATCTTAACCATGTAGTTGTGTTTGAAGATGGTAGCTTATACATATACCGGTATATATATATATATATATATATATAATAAATATATATAATATTATTTATAAATTAATTAATGTATAATAATATCCCTGATCACCCTGTCAGGGTTCATTTTGTGATAACAAAAGTTCGGGGTCTGCATTTTTTTGTTGTTGCAATGTTTAATTGATCACAAATACGTTACGTTACAAATACAGAGTGCAATACGTATTTTAAAATATGTGATTCAAAGCTGAATCTTTACACTGCTCCAGTCTTCAGTGTCATGATCCTTCAGAATTCATTCTAATATGATTTGCTGCTCAAAAACATTTTTTATTATTATAAATGTTGAAAACGGTTGTGCTGCATAATATTTTTGTGGAAACCATGATTTTGTTTTCAGGATTCTTTGATAAATAGAAAGTTCAAAAGAACAGCATTTATTCGAAATATATATATTTTTTAACATTACTAAATGTTGTTACTGATACTGTTTTTAAAACAGTATAAATATAAAGTATAATTCCTTGGATCCATTTACTTCATATTCACTTCCTCTAACTATTTCCTTTGCAGAAACCCCACCACTCTTCGGGCTGGACTGCGCGGCGACAGCAGCCCGCCCCCCGCGTCCCCCAGCCATGTCGTCACGCATCGGCCTGCGCCTGCAGCTCATGCGGGACCAAATGCAGCAGGAGGAGCAGCGGGAGCGGCAGCAACAACAGGCAGCATCCATGCATTACATGCAGCATCGCATGCCAGGCCCAACTGCACCCTCATCAGCCATCAGCGCACCAACTCACTTCCAGGCGCCCATGCAGGTGCCTGTTGAAGTGCTAAAGGTATATCCATCATCATGTGTGTGCTCATCTGAATTTGGCTGTGATGAAGCGAATTAACAAAAAGGAAGAAAAGCACTTTGTCAAAGAGCCAACAATAATCATAAAGGTTTAAATGGACCCTTTTTGCATACTGTGATGATGCATTTTCACAGTTATTAATACACAATTGATGCATTTCCACAGTTAGTAATACACAATTAATATAAAGTCTAGCAAAGTTTTTTATATTTTCTTTTTTTTATGTACGTTAAAGACTACTTTGGGAAAGATTTACTAAACAGGGCAAATTAACACGCAGCTGCAATCTAATAAAAACGCAGATGGGAGAGGACATTTCTGTGAGTGATCTACTGAGAATTGGCAAATTCAATGTCATGTCAGATGCAAAATCAGTTAATACATATTTATCTAATGCCGGAAATACCACTAAATTAACTACTGCAAAGTGCAAACCAAAATAAATAATCTCCGCCCATAAGTTTTGCTGTCTGACAGGGAAACTCCTATAAATGCATATGCAATAAGGTCAGTCGCAAAAAATAACTGTCTACGCTTTTTCAGCGCTAATTTCTCACTGTGTGTCTTTAGTAAATCCTTATAGCAGTTTTTAATGCCAAAAGAGGGTTTGCACAGGCTCAAGCTTATTAGTAAATCTGCCCTTTTTGTGTTTTAGTACCTTGGCATTCATTTTCAGGTTTTGTCTATTGATATTGGATCAATTGGTAATCCAAAAAAATATTTTTGTTGTAGTTTTTGTTCACCACTATAGAAGTTTATCCAACTTTACCCACTTCTGCTTCTGAGAACCCCAGAAATGTGAAAAAATGTCTGTTAGTTCAAAACCTTTTATTTTATTTTTTTTTAATGAAAAGCGTGATAGGTGTTTGTGGGAAATACTTTGCTAAAATGAGAAATGCCCTCTCCCTTAAATCTTGCCAAATTCCATCTAATCATTGTGCAGCTATGTGTTCTTTAGTATGAAAGAGCTCCCCCATGAGACCCTAATCTTGCCTTCCATTGGGTAGTCTAGCCGTGCTCCGGCCACCCTAGTGGTCCCAACTGGATGAATGAGTTCTAAGGAGTGCACGAAGACCAAATTAGGCAAGATTAAGTACTCTGGTAATCTCCTCTTGTATTGCGGTGAAAGAGTAGTGGGCAAAGTCCAGAAGTCAGTGGGTCGTGCAGGACTGACCACGGCTTTGGTGTGCCGGATTACATTTCAACCAAGATCAAAAACAAAGTGAGGAATATTTGTAGAAGAATGCGGTGGAACGGCAGCCAGGTAAGAGGAAAGAGACAGAAAAGAAGCGCCACTCTGACATGACTTATACAGAGATAACGCACAGGAAGACATTCTTACAGGTGACATGTTTCTGTCTGATTCCATCTGTTATCCTGGATTGTTATCAGTTAGTTTAAAGAAAGCGACTCTGTGCTCAGTGTACATACATGGAATTTTGAGTTTAGGTGTGTGCGATGTTATGAAACTTTGTACTTCAACTACAAGAAGTTTTTATCCGGATGTTTTTTTTTCTTCATTCTTCTTTTAGAGCCTGACAAAACATCTGCACAGTTTTTTTTTTTCCCGGGATCTGTAAAGCTTTAGAAAGTTGAGGTTGTGGTTGTGGAATTTATTGTAGAGTTATTTAATCATTTATTGTAGTTACTTCTTGTGCTTCTTTGAATAGACAATAACAGGCTTTGTTATCAGTTCAGGTAGGCGACTAAAAACATATTAAGGTTTAAAGACAATAATATCTGATAAATTACTTGGGAAGCGTTAACGATAGAGATAGAGACTCATAATCAGTTTGACTATATATGTATAAACAATTTTTAACTAAATTGTTTCAAATAATAAAATAACAATTCTAACAATAATATTAATATAATTAATAATAATCTATTATGCATATTATGGTGTTAATGTTTTAAGAGCATAAATAAAACTACTTTCACTACCGTTCTAAAGTTTTGGGGTCAGTAAGATGTTTTTAAAAGAAGTCTCTTATGCTCACCAAGTCTGTATTTATTTGATCAAAAGTACAGTAAAAACTGTAATATTTGTGAAAGATTATTACATTTTAAAAATGCTGTTTTATATTCTAATATATGTAATTTATTCCTGTGATGGCAAAGCTGAATTTTCAGCATCATTACTCCAGTCTTCAGTGTCACATGATCCTTCAGGAATCTTTCTAATATGCTGATTTGCTGCTCAAGAAACATTGAAAACATTGAAGTTGTGCTGCCTAATATATTTTGTGGAAACCATGATACATTTTATTCAGGAATTGACACTTCAAATAAACAGCATTTATCTGAAATAGAAATCTTTTGTAATGTTATGCATGTTTTTAATCAATGCATCCTTGCTGAAAAAACTTACTGACCCCAAACATTTCAACTGTAGTGCATCATTTAAATTCAGTTTAAATAAAATGACATCTGACAATTGGCATGTTGGTTATCATAAATCAAACATTAAAATAATCTGTATCTAGATCATAAAGTAAAATTAGTCGACTTGACTCGTTCTTTAGTTATAATGTTTAACTGAGCCAAACGGAACCTGTTTGCATGGTCAAACCTCTGTTTTGCTCAGACCAAAGTAGTATTACTTTCTTGAGTGTAAGTGGCAATAACTTGTGCCACTAGCATGTTGTTGCTAATTTCCCATGCGGCCAACCATGTGTTACCTCAGGATTAAGCAACAGTAGCTCATGTTTCACACAGAGCATATTATTTAGCTGGACATATACCACCACCGTTCCTAGATTGAATTAAAAATATCTAATGAAGAGCTCCATGCTAGATGCACTTCTAACCACAACTAACCTTCTGTAATTTCACCTCTGAGAGCTCAGAGCAACTGGGCCTACCCAAAATTCCTTTACATAGCTTTCACGGAGAGGTTTAACACCAGGGAATTGCCCTCCTAGACAGTGTCCCCGGTTTACAGCTTGTGTGTGTAAGTCCTGTATCCTTCACTTACACTGCCTATAAAGGTTTTACTTGCTCCATCATGTTCTTTAATCTTTCAGTTAAATAATACAAGTGATTGGACTGAAATTGAATAATTTGCAAGCTGAAGAGTAAAGGCTTTCATCCACTAATCCTGAGGCTTGTTTTCATTCAGGAATGTGGTTGATGTGTTGTGGCTGATATTTTCCATCAGTATACAGGCATTGGAACTCAATTTTGTTGATATGCATGCCCGCTCAAATATGAGCACAGTCATGCAAAAGCTCACAGGCAATATGTTGCTTTGCTAACCCTTAAATCCTTTTTCTTTTCATCACTGCACATTTGTCACACATTTTATCAAATGTCAGTTTTGTGTACTAAATCACTCAGTTAAAGACAGTCTGGCTTTGAAGTGAAAGAATGAGGCCAGTCCAGTCAGACGTCACCCCCGCTCTGAACCTCCACCAGCAGGTGCCTGTGTGATTCATTGAACCTCTCTAGAGGCTCTTTCTGGCCCCTGTGTGCCCCGTACATGCCTAGATTTAAACCCCAGTTACATAACCATCTATGACTGTGGCTCTAAAACATAGATGGCTGAGACTGAAGGCTTTGGCTTGTTTTGTTTTTTCTAATGTGTAACGGTGACAGTAAAAACACTGTACTTTCCACTGGAATAGTAAGTCATGAGACATGATATTGCCAGACGATGCATACATTTTTAAAATACTTTTGTGTTTAATACTCAATGTGCGGCTTTAGAAAAATGCAAGTTATTGCATTCTTACAGTTCTTATATTTCTGTCAAAATATATTTCCACTACCGTACATTTGGAGAATGTTTTTGAAAGAAGTCTATCTAAGGTTTAATTTTTTTAATCAATATTGCTGTTTTCTATTCAAATATATTTTAAAATGTCAATAGCCATTATCACAGTGTATCATGATCCTTCAAAAATCATTCTAACACACTCAAGACATTTATTATGATCAATGTAGTTTTTTTGAGGAAACCATGATACTTTTTTTCAGGATTCTTTGATGAAAAGAAAGTTCAAAAGAACAGCATTTATTTGAAAAAGAAATTTTGTTACATATATAAATGCTTTTACTGTCACTTTTGATCAATTTAATACATCCTTGATGAATAAAATAATTAATTTCTTTCAAAAAAAGGTTTTTACTTATCCCAACAGTATTAACATACGGTAAGTGTACTATTATGTACTATTACTATTAGTACGGTTCTATTATATTAAAAAAGCAATACAGGTTTGGAATGACGAGAGTGAAAACATGATGACAGAATATTATATTATTTCATATTATATTTTACAGGTGCAGACCCATCTTGAGAACCCCACAGACTACCACATTCGACAGTCTCAACGGCAGCAAGTCAAGGAGTACCTGTCCACCACATTTGCCACCAAGCAGGCAGTACACGCTGTCACAAGCTTGGTACAGCCCTCTCCACCCACCATGCCCCAGGGTCAGACAGGAACCGTCCCACCAACCATGCCCTCTTCTTGCATGCGCACTGAGCAGCTCATGAACTCCGCTGGGAACAGCGCACCCAACAGTCCCATGGCCATGCTCAACATCGGCTCCAGCCATGAGAACGAGGTAGTTTCTTAGTTTTCATACAGTTGTGGGTTGGAAGCATGTCCAGGCATGTTTGAAATAAAGACTTTTCCCATAACATATCTTATCCAGGATATCTTTAATTAAAACCAAACTGTTACAGTTTTATATTTAGCACCATAGTTCCTCTTTCAGTTCACAGAAACCTAAAGTTCAGTAAATGACAATGTCTTGCTCATCTTTCATACGCTATACCCTTTATGATTTTCTCCATTTCTCACCCTTGGTTGGTGTTTTTGCCCAGGTGCACATAAAGGTCAGAGTGTTAACTATCTTAACTCCATTGTCATTGGAGTTTAAGTGGCCAATTATGGCCGTGGAGGTATAATTACAGATTAAAGAGTGACAGGGAACCCAGGGCAGGATGGCCCTTTGGAACGAAGCAGACTTTGGTCCTTCCTTCCTTCCTCCGCTCCCAATGCCACCAAATCCTATGGGATTCTAAGTGAATGTTTGCTTGTGGCACACTAACAACCTTTGTGAGCTAAGCTACAGAGGGATTATGTCTGTACGGCTCTTTAGAGGAATACATCTTTCATCTGTCATTTTCAGTGATATTATAATTAGATATTTACTCTGCACAGTTATTTTGGAGAATTTATAGCAAAAATCTTCAGAGAAAATCAAGAGAAAGTGTACTTAATTTGTAGAATGCAAATGCACAAGGTGTCTAAATTCTCCTTATGTGTTTTTGACAAGATGGATGAGGTTATTGATGACATCATCAGCCTGCAGTCCAGTTATGATGACATCCAGGCTTATATTGACCCCGTGGTCCAGATGCCAAACACAGTAAGTAAAGACTTCACTCAGTTCAGGCCTTTTAGTCGTTGATATTGCCGCCGGTGACTAATACAGATCACTGAATCCCAGAAGGTAAGTGGAAAATTGAGTGAATAATTCCTGTTTGTGATGCACAGTCTGGAGTCTGCGTCGTCTTGTCTCTGAATAGGTCTATTTTTGAACCCCCCGAAACCTCGTACTTTGACAATGGAGGAATTATGCTGGATCCATTTGTTGTGCTGCTTTTTATCAGGGTTATAGGGATGAAAAGCATCTTTGTCTGATTTCCAAAAGTCACGTCTAATTATAGCAAAGCACCATCTCAGTAAAATGAAGCAACTGTTTTTCTCTCATGCAACCTCAAAATGCTTTATTTTCTGTTTAGACTCATCGAGAACTTTGCCTGCTGAATTTTTTTGTGCTTGATTTATTGGATAACTGATATTAGGACCTTGCCAGCTTACTTCGACATGTCTCGGGGGGAAATGTTTTAAGTATTTCAAATGTTTAATTGACTTAAAACCCTGGCCTGATTTACTCAAGGGAAGACATTGCGTTAGAAATCAGGAAAGTGGGAGCACTGTGCTTTGTATTTAAAGTAACTGCCCAACATTAACAATTAAGCCGCTCTCAGTTAGAGTTCAACTTGTTTACAAGGCATTTCGTGAAGGTGGGGGAGCAGGGGGGAGGTTTGGGAGAGAGAGGGCTGGGGAGGGGAGGCTGAAAGTCCAGATAGGGGAAAGTTCAGTGTTTAGTGGTTAGGAGAAAGTAGAAGACAGAAGGTCCCTGGGCGGCTCAAGTTAGTCTCTTCGGAGAGGTCTAGGGTGAACGACAAGTGTGTGCAGCAATGAGAGATTCAGAGGCCAATATGAAAGACACAAATAAAACTTATGCTATTGTGGAGGTTATCGATGGAGAGAAGATTCAGCTGGTAAGGCCGACTTTTTCCCATCACTCTCCTTTCTGCAGGCCGAAGAGGGGGGTGGGGTTGTTTAGTCTTGCTGCTATTTGTTTCTGTGCGTCTGATTCCTAGAAACTAGAGGGACTAGAAAGAAAAAATGCCATGGGCACATTAAGGACACCGGTAACCTTGTCACACACATTTAGCTGTACACTTATAGCAGGTTGTGCTCATATATCTGTAAATGGCTCGTTGTTTATGGCTGTTGTTTAGGTGGACCTGCAGGGGAGCAACTGAGTACAACTGTTTCAACTGTTAAAGAGATAGTTCACCCATTAATAAAAATTTCTGTCATCATTTCCTCATGGTGTTCCAAACATAGACACACATTGGAAGCCAGTGGGGTTCATTGTTGTTTTGGACCCCACTGATTTTCATTATACAGACAAAAACTTCAAAATATGTGTTCCACAGAAGAAGAAGAAAAGCAATACAGGTTTGGAACGACATGAGAGTGAATACATGATGACAGAATTATATTATATTATATTATATTCTTTTTAACAGTATTTTATTTTCACAGTATTGAGAGAATGCGTCTGATTGAATCTCCTATTGATCAGTGTTCGTAATGATTGATCTTTGGTTCCAGACTCTCTGACTTGGTCTCCTGCATACAGGAATCATCACGCATAAGGAAGTGCTACTGTTGGTTTTCTTCTGTTTACCAGCAACATATTTACCCGAATGAGTCACGTACCGTACCTTTGCTATTTTTCCCAACCAACCATTCTTTCCCTATGCGAAGGTTTTCCTTGATAAATTATGTTATTATGCGTATCCACAGAACGATTAAATCCCTAATCCTGGTGGATTTGTAATATGGCCATTGAAAAAGCAAACGGGGCAACTAGTCTCAGATTTGATGAGGTACATCATCCCCTTTGCTCAATATTTAGTGTGCAAACTATATTTTTCTGTGGGGCATTAGAGGTTTTAAAGGTCGGAAAATACTTGGGGGTGAAGAGGTGGGGTTTCAACTCCTAATGAGGCCGCAAAGGCCGCCTCTGACCCCGTTGACCATGTCCCTCTTTGATCACGGTTTCTTTGATCAGTGATTAAAAACCTCTAAGGATGGAATTCCCTAAACCGATAGGGCATCAAACACTTTGCATTGTGCATACACATACTTTAAATCATCGCCATTGTTTGTCAGGGAGCAGCATTCATAAGTTCACACCCTCTTTTATAAACGTTCCTCTTGGTTTCTCTTATCGCATCCGAAATGCTAAATGAGCCGTTTCTGTTTTCTCAGTATGTCATCATCTTAGTATGAGGCGTGCTGCGCCGAGAAATTGATCGTAAGAAAATCGTAAGGATTTATGTAACGGTGGTTGCACGTTTATCCAGAAGTAATGGCTTCGCATAATGGGCACCACTCTCTTTGCTGATTTTTTTTTTACTGTTGATTTGTGTTTGTTTGCCTTCGTGCTTCACAGTAGCTTCTGTGATAAGGTATCTGAGCTGATTTATCTGTCACGGCTCATTAGGAGCTCATAGCCGGCTCGCTTACAATTATACTCTGACACTAAGATGGAATAAAAGATACAACTGGTATAAAACCATAAAGACCCAGATAAGAAAGAACATAGTCAATCATTGCTCTCACCTAGAAGCAATAGCAGAGTGTGATATTTTTTTTGTTTTATCTCCATTATCTCAAGTGTTTATGGCTTTGCTCTAGAGATAAGCTGAGTGTTTATTGGGTTTCTAGTGATTGTGATGATTTACCAGGGTTACGCTGAATATAGCTTCATAAAAATGCCATTTGCAAGACAAACTAGTTGTATCTTCTCCAGTAAGTAAAGCATAGATTGTAGTAAGGACATGCAATAGTCTTCAAATAAAGGGGAATATGTTTGTCAACTGTACCCATGGTTTAGTTTAACTGATACTCAATGGTTTGAAAGATTTTTGTCTTTGTAGCTTTAAATACAGCTGTTGTCGTCTCACCAATACTCACATATATCTCTTTTTACACTGTAGCTCCCGCTGTCCAGCAGCCATTTGGATGTGTACACGGGGCCAGGTATGTCCGGATCAGCTATCGCCATGACCAGCAACTCCTGTCCTGCAAATCTGGCCATAAAGAGAGAGCTGTCAGGTACATTCTCTAGAAATGTACAAAACAAAGCACTGCTGCACACACAGACATTACTGTTAGGAACCACATACAATTTCAGCTATGGCATCAAAAGTTCCAGCAAAAATCTACAGTTTAGACACATTATTAGCACTACTTCCCAGATTTTAGACTATTTTACAATAGTGGTCAAAAATAAGCCATGTGAAATGAAACAAATGAAAGAATAGGAATTATGTACCAAAAATGATCAAATTAAATAAAATACAATAAAAAAGTTTGTCAACTAACTTCTCAACCAATTTCCTGTGTCGCCTTATTGTTTTTCCCTATTACAAACCATCAAAAATATTGTTGTTTCGCTAAGAAATCCAAATGAAGGATTGATTTAATTCATCTACAGAATTTATATGACATGAAAAACATACATTTTGTCAAGAGTGTCTAAACATTTAACTGGTAGTATATAGTAGGTTCTACCCTCTAAAAAGAGTGTATGTAAGTGATCTGAATGACATGAATTATGGGAAGCAAACATGACATCATTTTGACGAGAATGTTAGATCATACTCAAAAAAATATTTTGTTTTATATCATGAGTAATTTGTTGCCGTACTAACCAAAAAAAACCCTGAAAATTGAGCAGAGCCTAAAAGACACCGCTTAACATCTGTAAGACACGAGAGAAACTTTATCACATAACCCTGCTGGATAAAATGTAAGCACATTTCACTATTCCAAAGCAATGTCACTTATCACCTCTATTGCAAAGCCTCATAAATCCAGTTCTTACAGCATTTGCGTGTATAGCAAAACATGTTAGTTGACAGTATTGCCTTTTGTTTTTGGCAAGATGCTGAAGTTCGGGCAATGGCTAAAGAGAGGCAGAAGAAAGACAACCACAACCTGAGTGAGTATGCTCTTTTCCCCCCTCATTTCTTTCAGTTTACAACCCCTCACAGTTTAAAGTACACTATCTCCGCTAGTGCCCTGCCATTGACACCCCCTGTCACCACCACCTCTGGGCGAATTTAGCTGACAGCGCACTATACTTTGGTCTATCGTTAACTCGGACAGATCCTGCTGCCGTGGCATTAAAATGTAATTGCCTGTGGCATTTCACAAGTATTGGAGTTGTACAATAAGCAGCTTGGCCTGTTCCCAAGTACTTTGGTATAAGAGGGTATATATTGCTAGTGCATTATAAACAATTTACACACCAGAACCGATCTCATTTCCCATCATTAGATTGAGTCAGAAAACAAATAAAAAACGATGACCACGTGATGGTCAAGGTCAGACATCATGCTATAGAACTGAAAGTCTGTATGAGAAATTTTAGTATTACCACACTAACACAAATGTTTTTTTTCCTTTTAGTTGAAAGGAGGAGAAGGTTTAACATCAATGATCGAATTAAGGAGCTGGGCACCATGATTCCCAAAACCAATGACCTGTAAGTTTGTGTTGTTTATTTGAGCATTTCATTTCATACTGACTAGATGTGAATTTTGTAGACTTGGAGATGAACTGTAGTATTCTTTCATTGATAATCACTTGACCTCCTGTGTTCAGGGATGTGCGCTGGAATAAAGGCACTATTCTGAGGGCCTCTGTGGAGTATATTAAACGCATGCAGAAAGACATCCATAGAACCAGAGAGGTGGAGAACAACTTCAGGAGGATGGAGATGGCAAACAAACAGCTGTGGATTCGTATTCAGGTGAACATTCATTCAGGACTTATGTGATGGATAATATAGTCATTACAAAAACAAAACCTAAAGCATCCGCTAAGAATAATAGTCTGTGACAATATGGAAAACAATTGGCCTAGCAACAAGATGAACACTGAAAACCATATTAAACCATATCAGTTCCTTGTTCGTCCATCTTTTTTTGAAGAAATTAATGTTTATTCAGCAGGATGCATTAATCTGATCAAAAGTGACAGTAAAGAAATGTATAATGTTACAAAAGATTTCTATTTTAAATAAATGCTGTTCTTTTGAACTTTCTGTTCATCAAAAAATCCTGAAAAAAAAAAGGTATAATAGTTTCCAACTGTTTTCAACATTGATGATAATAAGAAATGTTTCCTGAGCAATATTAGGAATGCACAATATTAAATTCAGGCTGATTCTGTTTTTTGCTGATCGTTACTTTTATGTTATGAACAATACAAATAATAATTATAATAATTGTTTAAAATCATTTTAAACATCATTTTAAAGTGAATTTAGGCATCATAACATTATAATGTACAGTATGAAAAATGGATGTTAACTTTCAACATTTAAAAGTGTTATTTAATTTTTAGTGATTTTACAGATTAATTTTAAATGAGTGATGAATGACAACAGGTAATCTGAATGTAAATACGGGAAATGGTTATGAAAAAGTAAATATAAAATATAGAACAGGGTTATTTTAGTTTAACTAAAGCTAAAACCATTTTGTTACTTGAAATAAAATACACTTTAACTAAAATAAAATAACGTAAATTTATTTTATTTCAGCTAGTTTCCAAGGCAATATTTCTCATTTTTTATTTAGTTTAACTTGATGTACTAAAATAACTAAAACTGAAATTAAAAATGATATAGACATATTAAAAAAATATCAAATTTACTGAAAATGTTAACAAAATTAAATGGAAAATATAAAAATTAAAATAAAAACTTTAATAGTATCTCAATGATACTAAAATAACACTGATTTAGAACAATAAAAAATAAATTAAAAACCAATCTAATATCGACACATAACCAATATGGTATGTATTGTGTTTCCCTACTCATACAAAAATACATTAAAAATGAGAACTGGTGTTTTGAGAGATGTTAAACTGACCATCTTATTGTGATCTTCTTGTGCTTATTCTTCAGGAGCTTGAAAGGCAGGCCCGAATGCACGGCCTCCCCAGCACCTCTCCCTCGGGCCTGAACAACACTGAGGTTCTAAGCCCCTTCGTCAAGCAGGAGAGCAGCCCTGAAGAGAACCATCTCCCGCATCAGCCCCATCTCCCTCCTCACTACCCCCAGCATCAGCAGCAGCCCCTGTCCCACCCTCAACTCCACCAGCACCAGCACCTCCACCCCCAGCCCCCACTGCAGTACCCAGCAGTGGGCAGCTCCCAGCACTTTGACTATGCCCAGTCGCTGGACTTGTGCAACGGCGGCATCCCGGGATATCAGGATGGCATGGGGGATCTCGGCTCGTTGGGCGGAGGTATCGCGCCGATGGGAAAGAAGAGTGAGCTAGGCTTCTTGCTGATGGAAGAGGCCCTGTCGCCGCTGGGAGGAGACCCGCTGCTGTCCGCCATGTCCCCCGATGCTTCTGTTGACAGCAGCCGCCGTAGCAGCTTCAGCATTGAGGACTCGGACATACTGTGACCTGGACAGCCTTGGGTGCCACTGCACCACATTCATATGATCACACACACACACACACACACACACACACACACAGAGATATTGCATTTAGTCTGGCACACTGTTAATGGGGAAAGGTGCGTTTTTGATGCGTCCTGCCTTCATGAATTTCAAGTTTCAAGCTCTTTTTTTTTTTTAGTCTGACATTTTTTGCTCCACAAATGTCATGCACGTTGATCCATTCACTAAACAAAGATAACTGATATGCTTGAATTCTGTCACCCAGAATTGTCCTATTTTGAAACTTTTTTTGTGACATGTGAAGGCCAAGTATGGTAACCCATACTCGGAAATTGTCCTCTGCATTTAACCCATTCAAGTTAGTGCACAGCACACACATTAGGGTGTGACACACACTGAAAACCGTGAACACACACACCCGGAGCAGTGGGCAGCCATTTTGCTTTGTTGCCCTGGGAGCGATTGGGGGTTAGGCGCCTTGCTCGCCTCTGTCATTTTCTGCCGGTATTGAGAATCGAACCAGTAACCTTCGGGTTACCAGTCTGACTGTACAAAAATATGTACTCCGATACATACAGATTGTCTTGAAGGCTATGAAATAGTGCTGTTTTGAGTCTGAACTTTTACACTCCATGCAATATACCAGTGTATCTTTTGAATAGTCCAAACAAATTTAAATCTGCCTTTTAGATACACGTATTCACCCTAGAATTGTAACGGTTCAAACCACACACTCACATTCTCTATCTGTAGAATTATATATTTTTCGCTTTGACATATGTCAGCCTTTCCCACAAGTGAGACTGTCACACTTAATGCCCCCTAAATCCAGACAGAAATGATTATTGGAGCATTTTTTTTTTTATACCGCCACATCTGAGCTCTTAAACACAGTGCCTGCTCTATCAGAGCAATATGCAAAGGCAGCTTATCCTCAGACAGTTTATCAAAACGCAGGAAGGACAGGGTTCCCACAGCCATGGAAAACCTGGAAATATCAAGGAATTGTGTTTTCTTAATTTAGATTAATACATTAATACAATCTTAGTTGTATTAATCTTAGTCCTAAGCCTTTGAGTGAATCTTTTTTTTTTTTTTTGGTTCTTTTTAATGAGTCAAACAGATTCACAAAACAGTCTGAATGATTCATTAGTGAATCAGTATGAATTTGAAGGGTTTGTAAAAGTGACACTGAAACTTGAAAGGTCCTGGAAAATTCATTGGTTAAAGTGTATTGGAACTCTAGGGTGGCCCTGTAATGTCCATGCAGAGAAATTCACTCGGGTGTGACTCTCCACCAATATGGAGAGACTTGGAAATAAAGGTATCAAAGAAACCTGCTCTATTACCTTTTAGCATTAGTTTTAAACAGAAGCCTATATATATATATATATATATATATATATATAGCTGATTTTAGCAATGTTGAGGCTTCTGTTTGCATAACAGGCCAGACCAGGTGCTAGTGTGACAGTACGTTCAGTGGACAGTGGTTAGTCCTAGTTAGTCCTGTTGCCACACACTCCTAGTAAGGTGCCTTAAAGCCAAGGCCGGATTCTTCAAGAAGCACACACACACTCAAATGCCCTCTTGTATTGGCACGCTGTAAAATAAAGCCGACAGCTGTGAGCCACCATTTGTTCAACTGAACTTCATACAGCCCAAGGTGCCTTTCAGGGAACCTGGATCAACATGAAATTTGATCCAGCTTTTGAGCTGTACACTGAAGGATGTTTAATATATAGAAAATGTACATGTATTAATATAGGTTTTCTCTTTTTTCTTTTTTTTTCTTCCCAAAGCACTGGAAAAAAAACTTTTAATTTTATTGATATTATAAAGATTTTATGAAGTGAGTTTTATTTCAAATGTTTTATGCCACTAAGCCATTTAAATGTACTTTATCTGACCTTTTTTTTTTTTTTTTTCTATCACTGCCGAGCCATTAAAATGTATAAAAAAATATTTCTGCCATTCTATTATACAAGTGGCAAGTGCAGAGCCATATTATATTTTTCTTTTCTCTTTTTTTTTGTGTGTGTGTACAGAATCGTTAAAACACACTAGACTTTTAAGAGATTTAAAGAACAATGTGTAATGTTGTTTTTATATTGATTTGATTCCTTTTTTAAGAAAAAGACAGTTGAGGAAAAGTGATACATTGTTTTCATTCAATTTTAATTAAAACATTGAGAATGTGAATTTTATGTATTGTACAGTTAAACTAAGGTGGCTGTGTTGAACATGAGCTTTAATAGAACCTATGCGCTGTCCTCAGAAACAGTACGATGCTCCTCCAGTGTCTTATTGCCTAACCACCTCTCCCTGTTTTACTGCTTTATTGTTTTAAAGGTACAGTTCATAGGTGCTGAAACAGCACCATTCAAACCTCATGAATTAGTATTGAAAATACTAGAGACACTTTTTGTGATAGTGTTATTTATCCATTATTATTGCAGGTGTATGACTAGCTGGATCATACACCGAATTCAGCTGAGTTAAAACCAGCCAACAGCTCTTATTAAGAGTTTGTTACTCTATGCAAATCTTTGACTTGGTTAGTTAGAATAGGCGTTAGCGTTGCAAAATAAGCAAGGGCATTTTGGATAGCATAGCAGGAAGGGGCTTCTAATTTTGCTTGTGTGACATTTTTGTTTTGTTTTGTTTTAGCCATGCACCAAGAATGAGAAGGTTTGCCATTTAAGAATGAAGATAAATCACTTGAAGTAAAGAGTGTGCTTTGGTAAAATATCTTGATGATTAAAAAGAAAAAGAAAAAAACACTTTGGCATTTGATTATACAGCATGCTGAAAGACAATACAAACAGATTGTGACTCAAGTTTTTACCAAAACCCTCTGAAGGCATTGAGAATGTTTCAGTACTGTGGATGTGTCATGTTTATGGGATTTGCTCTTTCATAAATCTCTGGAAGTAAATGACACCTCACATTAAATGTATTTAAGTTGATGGTATATTGATTGGCTTGTGTGTTTTGTGCAACCTTGAAATCAAACCTCCTCTTGAGAAGGTACTTATTTTGAATAAGTGATTACTTAAATTACTATGAATATGTGTAGTATGAATGTAATCCGGGACGTACTACATCCGCCATGTTGTCATTATGTGACCTGGACCTACCGGCCTTTTTTTTTTTTTTTTTACGGAACAGAATATACAACAGTATACAGAAATGTGCAGAAAATGCCAGTAGAACATCCAATCATTAATCCAAACCGCTGTAGTAATGAAAAAAGTCAGCTTTCTTTCTTTTCTTTTTTCTTTTTTGTTGACAATAGTCTCATAACAAGTGCTGTAGTCTTTGATCTCCTGGAAAAAGGGGATGGAATTTGGCTTGGACCCTGACAATTTCCTCTTATGGAACTTCCCCAAAATAATAAAAAGTTGTAGAAGAAAAACAATATTAATATTTTCATTCGAATAATATGCCCACATAGCCTATATCAAAATTATTTAACTTGAATATAAATATGTGACCTATCAGCGTGAGTTGTCGCATCAGTGCCATTCACGAATCCTCTCCCGTGGCCTCATGGGATAGTAAAGTGCCCATCATAAGCGTTTACTGTCTATGATCATAAGCACACTTCAGAATCTCACCGGAAGTAGTAGGTCCACCGGGTACTTTTTGCCTACTATTTTAAGTAGTGTGAATTCGTGCACACTTATTTTGTTTTTCGCCTACTAGGCCAAAGTATGAGATTTCGGATGTAGCGATGGGTTTGAATGGTCTTCAGGATATGACCGTTTCTCGAAAGTGCCACGAGAGGGCGCTCTACACCAGCATACTGAATTAAAACAGAGTAATCTTTAGCTATGCGAGGAATGGAATACTTTTAGTCAGTTAAATGCTGACTGAATTTGGAGCAATATATATTGTATACTGCCTACTAAATATAATTAATTATGATAAACATTTCAATCAGTATGCATTGTCACATGATTCAACATTTTTGAGGTTTTATACAAAAGTAGGACTAGTCTAATCGCCGTAAAAAAAAAATTAAAACAGGAAATGTTTTTTCATCAGAGACGAGCTGACCTCTTTGTTTTGTGTCTTACACCAATAATATTAGCCTACCTTGTATTATCGGATTTCTTATATCAATGAACAGCATGCAGCTTGATGTGTTTAACACCATACTTATTTGGTTTGGCACAAATTACTAATTTTTTTAAAGGTATAAATAGATTAAATGTGGACATGGACTCATTACTTAACTCAAGCATCAATCTTGACTAATCTGCCATAACCACTTAATTTCCCCATATACACTCGTGAATCAAGAGATCATCTTCCGTGGGAAGTATGACTAAAGCAGTCGCCAAGAAAACAAAACACGCTGTATCCTCTAGGGGGCACCAGAGAACTGTGAAACTCCCTCAGTGCAACCTCATTTATTTCCTGTAACAATTACAGAAACAGCACTGCAATGCAATTAACCTATTTTTAAATACAATTTTATTAGGGCGGTTTATCCCAGATAAAGAGAGGCTTAAAATAGGACGAGGTGAGGAATAATTAGCTTGCAGTCATCTTGCCACCTCACGCATCTGAAACGTTCTGTCCGACAACTCTGTTGCTTCATTAAAACGAGTGAACTGTAAACAGAGACTGAGAACAACTGTAGAATTAATCTGCTCTTTATGATTGCCGTCAATTAAACTGACCTTTTGATATATCATCTAAAGAAAACAAACACGAATTCCACACCTATTAAAGATAAACATGACTCACTTTTTATAGGAAAATATTTACATCCAATTATCACTAGGCCTAGTGTTTTTTAGGCCTTGATCTAGACCGGGGTTAACACTTAACTGAATACAAATACACACAGTTCACACTCCAAAACACTTATCTAATGCATTCATAACTTATTATTATTCATTTGTGTTCTTTATTATATATTGCATATTAAATGTATTAAATACTACCAAAATTGTTTGTAAAAAAAAGCATTCGTCCAAAAGATGTTTTAATTGCCCTATGGAGGAGGAAATGTTCTAAATGTTAAAGACCAGCTGTTTAAAACATGAAATAGTCATAAAAAAATATATATATATATGTATATATATATATATATATATATATATATATATATATATATATATATATATAGGCCTATATAAAATCAATTAAACAAGTTGCTTCAGTCCAGTAAATTTTCATTTTAAAATATAACTGACAGAATAAAAGTTATTCTTTTTTTTTTTTTTTTATGCAAAAAGGCATTTATCTCGACCTGAAGGTGGACATTCTTCTAATTAAACTAAAAGACCTTTT